GAAGGCACTGGAGGAGAAATTTTTGAAGAAAAGCGATCAGAACAAGCTCTACATGAAAAAGAGATTGTTCCGCTTCAACTATGTACCAAGTACCACTATGAATGATCACATTACTAGCTTTAATCAGCTGGTGACTGATCTGATGAATATGGATGTGACTTTTGAAGACGAAGATCTAGATCTGATGTTGATGGGATCACTTCCTGATGAGTTTGAGTATCTTGAAACTACTCTACTTCATGGAAAGGTTGATGTGTCTCTTAGTGAAGTAACTGTTGCCTTGTATAATTATGAATTAAGAAAGAAAGACAAACAAGAAAACATAAGTGTCGAAGCAGAAGCTCTTGTTGTTAGAGGTCGTTCGAAGAGTCAGAATAAAGGAAGGAGATAGAGATCGAAGTCAAAGTCCAGATTGAGCAAAGATCAATGTGTCTTTTGTCGAGAAAAGGGGCACTGGAAGAAAGAATGTCCCAGTCTAAAGAATAAAGGCAAACCTGAAAGGGGAAAGGTTGTCTCAGAATCAAATGTGGTCGAGTATGATGATGCAAATTCAGATTTCGCATTCGCTGCTACGCCATCAACCAGTTGTTCCAGTTTATGGCTATTAGATTCAGCTTGTAGCCACCATATGACCCCAAATAGAGAATGGTTCTTTGATTTTAAAGAACTAAAAGGTGGAATTGTCTACACATCAAATAATTCCCCTCTTGACACACTTGGGATTGGTTCAATTCGCTTAAGGAATCAGGATGGATCAATCAGAACCTTAACTGGTGATAATGAAGGGAATCCGGAAAAGAAACAATGTGTATTACTTTCTGGGTAGTACAATTGTTGGGACAGCAGCAGTGGCAGCTTCTACTGATGAACAGGAGTCAGAAGCAATCATATTATGGTATATGCGCTTGGGACATATTGGTGAAAAATACTTGAAATTACTGATAGATCAAGGATTATTGAAGGGTGCTCGGGCATACAAATTAGCTTTTTATGAGCATTGCATCAAAGGGAAGAAGACGATGGTTAAATTTGGAACAACAATCCATGATACTAAAGGTATTTTGGATTATGTTCATTCAGATGTATGGGGGCCTTCCAAGACAACTTCATTGAGAGGAACACACTATTATGATACCTTTGTTGATGATTTTTCCCGGAGAGTTTGGGTGTATACAATAAAGACAAAGGATGAGGTGCTAGGATTTTTCCTTAAATAAAAAAAGATGGTGGAGACTCAAACAGACAGAAAAATCAAACGTATCCGTACAAACAATTGTGGAGAGTACAAAAATGATCCATTTCTAAAAGTCTATAAAGAATAAAGTATTGGCAGGAACTTCACTGTCAGAAGTACACCACAACAGAATGAGGTGGCAGAACCAGACGTTAGTGGAAAATGTTCGGTGTATGTTGTCTAATGTTGGGTTAGGCAAAGAATTTTGGGCTGAAGCTTTGGTCTATTCTTGTCACCTTGTCAACCGCTTACCATTGACTGCTATTGGTGGTAAAACACCATTAAAGAAATGGTTTGGAGTACCTGCTACAGATTATGATTCCTTATATGTGTTTGGTTTCACTTCATACTACCATGTTAAGGAGTTAAAGCTGGATCCAAGAGCAAAGAATGCGATCTTTATGGAGATCACATCTGGTGTGAAAGGTTATCGTCTTTGGTGTCCAGAAACAAAGAAAATAATCTTCAACATGGATGTTACCTTTGATGAAAATATCATGTTGAGAAAGGTGACTTCAAAAAAATTGGAGCAGACAGATGGAACTCTCAAACAAGTGGAGTTTAAAGGAAGCAGAATTGACTCAGCCAGTAAAGAAACTGGTGTTGACTCTCCTATGGTAGAAGAAGAGTCAGATGAAGAAAAGGTTCAGACCCAATAACCTCCACAACAACATGAATCAATTGCACTCAAAAAGGAAAAGATGACCATTAGACAACCTACTCGTTATGCTGATATGGTCTCTTTTGCATCACCAATTGCAATTGACGACGTTCCTGCCACTTTTAATGAAGCAGTCCAAAGTTCAGAACATAAAAAGTGGAGGATCACCATGAATGAAGAAATGCAATCCCTTCAAAAGAATCAGACGTAGAAACTAGCTAGTCTTCCAAAGGGAAATAAGGCAATTGGGTGCAAGATGGGAATATGCAAAGAAATATGGATTTCCTGACAAGAATAACATCCGCTACAAAGCAAGATTGGTGGCTAAAGGCTACGTTCAAACGGAGGGAGTTCATTATAATGAAGTATTTTCTCCAGTTGTAAAACATTCCTCCATCAGAATTTTGTTGGCTTTGGTAGCGCAATTGGATTTGAAACTAGTTCAAATGGATGTAAAAATTGCATTTTTACATGGAGACTTGGATGAGGAAATCCACATGACTCAGCCAGATGGATTCAAAGTTGCTGAAAAAGAAAAAATGGTATGCAAATTAGAAAAATCGTTGTACAATTTGAAGCAATCTCCAAGGCAGTGATACAAGCGATTTGACAAGATTATGATAGGGCAGAAGTACACAATAAGCAAATAGGGAGTTTGAGATGAAGGATATTGGTGAAGCGAATAAGATTCTAGGCATGGAGATATCAAGGGATAAGAAATTGGGGAGGCTTTGTTTGTCTTAGAAAGAATATCTGAGGAATGTACTAAAACGTTTTGGTATAAATTAGAAGTCAAAACCAGTTAGTACACATCTTGCTCATCATTTCAAGCTCGGTGCATCCATATCACCTAAGTATGATGCAGAACGGGAATACATATCAAAGGTTCCATATACAAGTGTTGTTGGTAGCTTGATGTATGCAATGGTGTGTACGAGACCTGATATTTCACAGGCAGTTGGGGTTGTGAGCATATATATGCATGATCTTGGAAAAGAGCATTGGCAAGCCGTGAAATGGATTCTTTGGTATATTCTGAACACCGTAGATGTTGGTTTGGTCTTTCAGCAGGACAAACAAGATGGTCAGTGTGTAGTTGAGTATTGTGATTCAGACTATACAAGTGATTTTGATAAGCGTCAATCAACTACTGGTTATGTGTTTACATTTGCAAAGGCACCAGTTAGTTGGAAGTCCACCTTACAGTCAACAGTGACTTTGTCTACTACAGAGGCAGAGTATATGACAGTTACAGAGGTCGTGGAGGCAATTTGGCTTCAAGGGTTGCTTGGTGAATTGGGAATGGAACAGAAGCACATCAAAGTTCACTGTGACAATCAAAGTGCTATTCATTTAGCAAAGAACTAGGTTTACCATGCAAGGACGAAGCACATCGATGTTCGATATCACTTTGTACGAGAGATTCTAGAAGAAGGTGGAGTCATAATCCAGAAGATTCAGACCACTGAGAATCCTGTTGATATGTTGACAAAAGTGGTAACTGCGGTTAAGTTTAAACATTGTTTAGACTTGGTCAATATTTTTATAAATTGAAAGATGAATTTGCAGACACTACTGAAGATTGGATTTTTGAGAGATGTGTGTGGAATTTACCAAGGTGGAGATTTGTTGGTTTTTTGGCAAAGTCCCACATTGGTTGTGTATAAGGAGGAGGGAAAATTCTTTTGTTATAAATAGAGCCATCATCCTCCTTAGTTAAGCATCCCACAAATATAAGCCTTCTTCACTATTAAAGGTTATTTGTACTCTTTCTCTCTTTGTAATATTTCCTCTATTAGTGATATTATTTTAGTAGTGTTCGAGGACATATGCATAATTTTGGCCGAACCTCGTTAAATTTTGGTGTTCTCTTTTATGTCTATTTAATAATTATTGTCGGGTATAGTTGTTGTTAATTATTGTCCTATTAAAATTACTTGTTTTGGTAGTTCTGTCTAAAGAAAGTGAGTTTTAAGAGGGATCATTGTGACCCCTCATCTTTCTTGGGAATCTACATTGAGGTGATTTTTAGTACAATCGTTTTCACACTAGTCACCTAGATAATAGTTTTCAAGGTGAATTTGTTATTGTTGGTGGAAATTAACCTGAATTCCACAACAATCAAAAGAATCATAGTTCCCCAAAAGTTTAACATAACTGAAGCTTACCATAATCAAAAGTTTTTGTTGTGTAACTTAATCATTCAAACATAACCATAATCAAACTTTTAATATTATCATTTCATCAGTCTAAAAACGAATTCGATCGTTACATTTTGATTTTTATATTACGGTCAATATATTTAAAACATGTAAATCAATATGTAAATACGTGTCTACGGTATAGATAACTTAAATTTAAAATGTTAAAAAATCAAAATAATCCTAAATTTAGTAGCATCTCCTTCTTTAACATGTAAATCAGTACGTAAAATACGTGTCTACTGTATAAAATTGAACATTCATTAGTTTTACATGCAAATCGCAAAGCTTAACTAGTATATCTTTAAATATAATATATAATGAATCTATCAAATGATATAAGTGATTAAGTAGAGGGTTGTTTTCTCTAGAGATTTTAGGCTCAAGTAACTACATTTGTAAAGTGTGTGCGTTGTACGAAAATTTATGAACAAATACTATCTTATAATATTTATTAATGAGCAGTTTTGATTGATGTAATATTTATTGATGAATCTATATCTTAGTTATAATTGACATTGAAATTTGAATTTTCATTTGTTACATTTATATATTCATCTTGAGATTTTATTTACTTCCACACACATATAAAAAAATTGTATTTAATATATATATTTATTCTAAAAAATATTTATGGATCTTCCACCTGTAATATCAATAGATTGGAAACAAAATTAGAGTATTATGAAGTTAATGAACCAATTTACAATCTGTCCATAGTTTGTAGACTTGTGGTGTAATTAATTAACCCAAAACCAAACCTATAGTTTTAGTGGTTCCATAGTAATTTAATGAAAACCCAAACCCATTTGCAAACCTATCATTTTTATGGTTAAGCTTATATTGGGCACTGACAACCACAAAGCCATCTCTAAAACCCTGTCCCCTTCTGTTCCCTTCCTCTTGTACTTCCAAAGCCAAAAACCAGTAGCAGAGTGGCTCACTTTGTAATTTAATCATATTTGAAGCCCTTCTTCCCCTCAAAGTTCTCGCCTTTCAACCCTACAAAAACTCACTTTCCTTCTTCAGTTCTTCAAACCATTGAGAAAAGAAAAAAGAAAACAACACAATGCAGCAAAGACAGCAGCTTTTTCTCATTTTATCACTGTTTCTCGTCTTCCAAACATCAAATGGCCATAACATCACGCGTTTACTCGCAAAGCACCCGTCTTTATCAACATTCAACCACTACCTCACTCTCACGCACTTGGCTCAAGAGATCAACCGCCGCACCACGATCACCGTCCTCGCCATCGACAACGCCGCCATGTCATCTCTCTTATCCAAGAACCCTTCCATCTACACCATGAAAAACATACTTTCCCTCCACGTACTCCTCGATTACTTCGGTGCCAAGAAACTTCACCAGATAACCAATGGCTCCGCACTGGCCGCCACCATGTTCCAAGCCACAGGGGTGGCTCCTGGGGTCTCTGGGTTTGTTAATATAACCGATTTCAAAGGCGGGAAAGTTGGTTTCGGAGCTGAAGATAATGGCGGTAGTTTGGATTCTTTCTTCATTAAATCTGTTGAGGAACTTCCTTATAATATATCTGTAATTCAGATCAGCAAGCCTTTGCCTTCAGCTGTCGCTGAAGCTCCTACACCGGGGCCTAGTGAGCTGAATATTACAGGGATAATGTCGGCACATGGATGTAAAGTGTTTGCTGATACACTTTTGGCGAATCCTGGAGCCATGGGAACATATGAGGTGAGCTCAAAATTTGTGTTTTGCTTTGTAAATTATAGTAATTTTGATTTGTTGATTGATTCGTTGCTGAAATATTTTTGATCTTTGATGCTGATTAGTGATAAAGAAGGGAAAGGAAGAAAGTGAAGAAAAGGCTTAAAGAAATTAATGGGTTAGAGGAAAAGGGTAGAAAAAAAGGTTTATTTCTTGCCACTTGATTGAGTGGTGATGGCGAGATTTTTGGTTTGAAATGGAGTTGTTGAAAGAAATAGTACAAAACTATATTGAAAAAAGTATGATAATGACACCTTGAGTTCTTCTTTTTCATGTGAATTTGTAGACAAGTTCTAGATAAAGCAACCCAGATTTGGATTTTGTTTCCTTTCCAGTTGGAAATGTCGAATTTTCATTAAAGCTATGTTTTTTCAAATCGAATTGAGTGCTGATACAAGTATGTTATGTCCGATGTGTCTTATTTCGAGTTAGAAGTTGACTGGTACTCGGATTCGGATTCGGGTTTGTGTTGGTTGTTGACGGGGCATATCGGAAACTGAGATATAAGCAAGATAACATAATGTTGCTAATACAGATATGTGGTAATGGTGACTTGCAGGATAATGTTAATGGAGGATTGGCTGTGTTCTGCCCTCTGGATGATGCATTCAAAGCCTTTCTACCAAAGTTCAAGAACTTGACGGCCTCAGGGAAAGAATCATTCCTCGAGTTCTTCGGTGTGCCGGTGTACCAATCTCTATCCATGTTGAAATCCAACAATGGGCTGATGAACACCTTAGCCACCGACGGAGCCAGCAAGTTCGATTTCACCGTACAAAACGACGGTGAAGAGGTGACGCTCAAGACCAAGATCAACACCGTTAAAATAACCGGGACTTTACTCGACGAACAGCCGGTTGCGATTTATACGATCGACAAGGTCTTGATGCCTAGAGAGTTGTTCAAGGCAGCAGCCCCTACTCCTGCACCAGCCCCAGCCCCAGCCCTAGCCCCGGAGGAGGCAGCTGATGCGCCAAAAGCATCGAAATCCAAGTCCAAGTCGGCCCCGGGACCTGCATCAGATTCGCCAGCGGATTCACCGGACGGTGATCCAGCTGATCAGGCAGCTGATGAAAGTGCAGCTGCGAGTTTTAAAGGTGGAAGGTTTGTTGCTGTTGGATTGAGCTTCATGCTAATGCTTTGGTTGCTTTAAGGTGTTTTTGTCAGCTTATTACGAGCCTTCAGTGTGTGTTTATTTATATTTTTTATATTGTTTTTTAAGCTTGTTTATGTTAATTTTGTGTTAGATATATTAACTAAAGGTTTGTGATTTTCTTTTCCCTGGAAGTTTGATATTTATTTTATTGTTATGATTTTTGTAATACAAATTGTTACGATTTTCATTCCAGCTGTTTTGATATCCTCCCTATATCAAATGGTGGTTATATTTACGAAAGGTAATTTCATTCAAGATCCATTTATTATTTGATTTTTTATTTATTGTCGGATTATTTAATCACCAATATGTTTATTATTTGAGTATTTTATGTAATGCTTAAATTATCTATTTTTTTTCAAACTTAGTTTTTTTAATATATTAAACTATTTTTGTTTAGAAATCAACAATAATCTTCGATTTTAATGAACTCAGCGGCCGCTTATCACACTTTCATTTATGAATGGGTCACATGATTTGATCACAAGAATAAAGAACCACCATATCCAGGAATGTCCGAACCGCATCCATGATTTATAAGGGTTGATTTCATTTTCGATTGGACTCATTTGGATGATTATATAGACACACAGTCGTTAAGGATTGGGAGAGGCTGTCACAATGAATAGGTATTTAACTCATGCTATATAGATTTTGACTCCATCTATTTAATAAGATTATTATTATTTTTTTATTAAAAATAGAATTTAAATTGAGTCAATTCTTTTTAAGATAAGATTGGATTAAGTTTAAATTTATGGTGAAAAATATGTATGCCAAGAATAATAATATAGTTGTCCTTTATATATTTAAAGATAATTACTATAGCACTCTTTTCTCTATATTATTTTAATCAAGACTCTACTTTACCTAATAAAAATAAGAATTGTATATATGTGCGTCAGATCAGATACAAATTTTCACTATGAAAATCAAACAACTTTGAATCGAGTACCTAAATCCGAATCAAATCAAATGACAGGTGAAGGAATGTTATTCTTAGATTGAATTCAAATGAGCTAAAAAATCTGAAATCTGGGCCGACCCAAACTACAAATCATCCCTATCTATAATTTCTACTTTGTTTTAGCATAATAATATTTATTTAAAAATTATATTTAAATCAAGGTGTAGGTACTTGATGATTGTGCAAAGCACTTCCTTCCGTGAATTTTAATAATACATAGTTTAAAAATGCTAAAACAAAACGTTCTGTTATTCATGTCAAAAACCAATATATGGTACATAAATTGAAGCAACGATTAAAGCAAAAGAAAGTTTGATCCCCAAGGGAAAGGATACTAGATTTACCTCCTAATCTCATTTCCTGTAGCAAAAGCTATGTCTAACTGGGGCCTATTCGCATGATGAGGGTCTTAAGACCTGTTTTCTTATCGGAAAGAGAAAAAGGAAGTGCATGCAGGGAAAAGGGGTCTAAACAAGGAATAGAGTTGCTTAGCAAACTCGATGGTATCATCATCCCTGTTTTGCTTTCAGGGGTTGATGGCAGACCTTGACTTGCCCAGATCCCTGTTGTTCAAATACAGGAAAGATGGTTGGTCGCTGAAATTCAATACCGGCTGAGGGGAAAACCCGGCATAGCTTCTGTCTACCTTCGCCAAGCACAATTCGTTAATGTAGCGGAAAAGCTCGTGCTTCTGGGCGAATGGTTGAGCTGCATATTCTTCAAACGGCATCCACTGTACAAAGAAATAGGAACAGGGCAGACGTACACGCATGTTCTTGTACATACTCTTAATTCAGGACTCGTTACTGGATGGAGGAAATAACATGGAACAATATGAGTTGTACCTGGGCTGCCTCAATTTCCAGCTCTTGCTTCTGAATATCAAAGGACAGTGGATGCAACATGCATATGAATAACATATCCGACTTCTCGAAGAATGCCTTGTGTGATTGCCTGAATTTAAGAAAATGATTTCAAAACAAAGAATTCACTATGATTTATCCACAACAGTTGGCAGTATTGCACAAAAGCTGATGCGAATGACTCATTAAACCAATTATAGTTTGTTTGTTGGTATTTGCTACACCGATAACTGAAGTGCTTCTAGAGCTAAATTCATGCTTATCAAATACTGTAATTATTTGACAACCTGGTATATCAGTAACAATTATCTCATCCAAAACTTTCATAACCGTCACTTCAGATTTACAACCTTGTTTGACAACCATTGTCCAGTTCTAACTACGCTAACTCGAAAAACAATAATGATATCAGGGTCTATTTTCTTGTTAGTTTTCAAATATGCCTTTCATCCAAGCATGGCAATATCAGTAACATATGTGATGTAAGTTGAAGATATAAAACTGAGTTGTGCGGTTTAAAGCAAAAGGACGTGTTTGCTCATGCAAACATCATACCTGAAACCTAGGACCTCCACAAACTCTGTGTCAATCTGAAAAAGGAAAAATCGGTGGTCTTCATAAGGCCATTAACACTCATGATAAATCATTGGTGTAAAAACAACAAATATTTATGCATATTCATCACTTACTCCCGTCTCTTCTTTTACTTCTCTTATAGCTGCCACAGAAATATCCTCGCCCTGTTTGTAGAGGAGCTCATTTATCATTTGATAGCAATGCGAATTAGATTTTTAGGTGATGTGAAAGTTCCTTATGACGGCACACCGGAACATACCTCTTCAACCACCCCAGTAGGAATTTTCCATATGCCTGTTCCTTGAAGAATGCCACTCTTTTCCTGAACTACAAGCACCTATCAGCCAAGAATATTCTTATTTAGAAGATGAGAGAAATAGTTTGATTAATCCAAAAGCGAGAGTTAAACCTATAGTATCACCACTTACAACAATAGTATGCTTCAAAAAGCTAGATTGAGAGGTTATTCTCGTATAGATAATAAAAACTGTTAACATGTGAATCTGAGAATAAAAGCACCACATAGCTGAGAGCATGAACCTCTGAGCTGCTGCATCAGGTCCGTAGTAACAAATTGGCTTGAATATGACTTAAGAGTGTGAATATTCAAAAAGATAATCTTTTGGGTTCATGAATACAAATTTTTGGAAAATGTCCTCTAGTTTACATCATCAGGCAGTCTAACCACAGACCAGATTCCAATGGAACAGGTGAAACTTATTATAACCACAAAAGGCCAGAAGGACCTAAGGGAATGATCCAATTAACTAGTTCTACATTAGCAGAATAAAGAATCAATTACCCGCTTTAAAAAATTGAACACGATGAATTCAGTGGAATACCTCTCTTTTATCATTCAAGATAATTGCACCAACACCTACTCGGTGTGTTGCATTTGCGGGGATAGTGCTAGGTGTCTTAGGAATCCAGAAAACAAGCATGAGGTAGCTTGGCTCAGCATGGTGGTATCTAAACCCTTCCTATAATCAATTTAAAGTGTTTCAGAAGACTTGACAGTCAAAACATTATACTTATCAACTTATAGACAACAAGAAATAAAAAGAGCAACATAAAATTATCAAATACAAATGAAGTTAAAAACATATATTATAGACTACCTTCACTGCAGGTTCAACTAGATGCGCGAGTCCAATAGGCAATTTAATCCAAACTCCCTTTTTACCCTGCACAGTAAATTCCGAATATAATGACTATAAACCAAAATAGCAAAACTAAGAAACTTAAAGCCCCTACATCAAGTTCCTAGAATATGAATAACTTGATTGTGTAAATAAGACCTCTAGCAGCAATAACCAAAGTTAAGATTTGTTCATTTTGGTTACATCACAATCACCAGAGAATACCAACTGATCAATTAGATAGCTGGTTCAGAATCTATTAAAATCTATTAGAATCCCCTGCAAACAGAGTAACACTTCGGATCTGGATGAAGACTCAGCATTAGAAGTCGGCTCAATCGACTCGAGACCATTTTACAAATCTAAAAAATAAGCAGAACTTGTATCAATTGCACTGTTCAAATCACAGCAATCATCTAAAAAAATATCCATCTCAAATTTAACCTGTTGCTTCCACTGCAACATAGAAGCTGTGAGCATAGTAAGAAAGGTTTTAGTGTCCATGTGCTCCTTCATTTCCACAATGACACCTCCATGATCATCATTTATAGCAGGAAGAAATTCAGCATGCCAAACTCCGTTTCTGCTCACCTGTCTCCCAACTACCTCTGATAAATCCGTTGAGATCGGCATTTGTTCCAACTTCGAACCTTCAATAAAATTCATATTCTCAAAGTGGTACCACCAGAGGAGGGAGAAATAAAGAAATTAGATGTACAGACATGTATGGACTTGCACAAATACATCATATATACTTCCACATATATATACAATACATCATGCTTCATTATTACAAATGATCCACTGCCATACTTTCAGTTCAACAACTCGATGCACGTGTGCACGAAAATAAGAAAAAAGAGACTCATTTTGTTTCTTAGAAATTGACTTTCATATTTCTATATTTTCAAAATTCGTTCTGAGGAAACTGGTCAGATCAATAAAAATAAAAGGCTCAATAAGCTAAAAAGACTATAGTGCAAGTCTCACTTTGGCACTTATACTATTTTTTCGATCAATGACCCTTCAACTTTCATTCCATCACCAAAAAATAGGATTTATGTTTTGGAATTTATATATTTTTAAAAATAATTATTTTCAATCTATTTAAAAAAAAATAAAAAACATAAAAGTACTAAAAGCAATATATATATAAAACTAATTTTTAAGTTCTTTTTATCAAGTTCTGGATTTTTTAAAAGCTTTTTTTAAAATTTTGGCACACTTTTATGATTTTATTTTAGATTTTTTCATAATTGTTAATAATTTTCATTTTCCTTTTACGAGTCGTGAAACTCGATTGTCATTATCTCTTTTGTAACAGAAAATGTCAAAGGATCAACGGTGCAGACAAAATGAAAGTTGAAGGGCCAAACTGACCGAAAGAATAATAAAAGGGTCAAAATGAGAATTACCCTAAAGTATAGGGTCGTTTTAGGTATTAAGCCAAAATAAATCATCACGTTCTACTAATAAATTACATGAAAATTGCTAAGCCCGTGAGCTTAGTTCAATTTGAGTCTAGACGTAATTTTCTAAGTGAGAACCAGGGATGGCAGGCGGGAATAATTTTGTGGATTTTGTTTCGAATTTGCTTTAATGAGTAATGGATAATTGCGGATGAAAAAAGTTATACTCGCTGTGAATAGTAGATAAGTGATGGATTTAAGATCTTAACTGTTCTGAATCTGCTCGCTACGTATCCGCCTGCCCTACATCCTTAACTATTAATTACTCACCATATAAATTTTGAATAATTGTGAATTTAGGTATAATTTCAGAAACTATTCTATAAATCTTAAGATTTTGGAAGACATCACTTGTAATTTAACCAAATGTTAAGGTATATACTCAACTAATACTTGGTTTATTTCAGTGACGGATGCAAAGCATCCTTAGGATGGGTACGTGTCTATCGTGAAATTCGAGTTTCTTTATATTAAATGTTTATTTTACTATAGGTGTCCACCCTGAAATTTTACTTGTGTTTATCCTATACAAAAATTTTCAATAATTAATGTGTATGTGTCCACCTTCAAAAATATTTCTGGATTTGCCAGTGATTTATTTTATCATGCTTCTTATTAGATGTGTTTGATTTATGTTTTTTCGTTTATATAATCTAAGAGGTTGATGTCAGACGGGTACAAGATAGATGGTAAGTATCCAGTTAGATAGTGTGCGTTAGATTGATTTGAGAGTGTACTCGTGTGAGTTGCTATAAATTTAAAAAAAATTATCATGTCATAGGTGGTGGGTAGGGATGGACATGGGTCGGATTTTCGGTCCACCCGAGAACAATGATTTCTCCACTTGAAATTCGACCCGACCCGCATAATATATACCCTCCACCCAACCCAACCCAAATCCGACCCGACTTTTTGAAATAAAAGCCGAACCCGACCCGTCTCAACCCGAAATAATAAAAAAATATTATTTTTATTCAATAAAAATAATGATTTAATTGAAAAAATAATATATATATAGGGGTATTATTGTAATTATTCGTAAATATATAAGGTAAAATTATTTTTTTTGGGTCGGGTCGGATCGAGTATTTTTTCACCTTAAACCCGAATCCAACCCGACTCGAACACAATCTTTAAAAAATCGACCCGAACACCACTTTTAAAAAATCGACCCGACTCGACCTGAACCTAAATTTAAAAAAAAAAACTCGACCCGGTTAGATCGAGTCAAATCAGAATCCGTCAGATTCGGATCCCATGCCCATCCCGGAAGGTGGTGTACACAAAAATATTATATAAATATGAGATGCTGAAAAAGATATCCACACCAGGTCTGCCAGTTTGCAATCCTAGTGAGAGCGGATGTGAACTTCACTCGTATTAGTATTTAAAATAAAAATTTGGTTTTGGGGGTGGGGGGAAATCAAACAACGTGAAATAATTTTAATTTAATAAATATGGCAACTATTGTATGTAAATCAAACGACATAAAACATTTTCGATGTAAACGAGAGAAAAAAAAAATTCATTCAGTTTTTGAAAGATGGAAAACAGATGTTTTCTAAACTTCAGTCTTCGTACTACAATTAGAAATCAGTTAATACTAAACAGAGCTACAAGAAGACCATGTAAGTTGCAGCGTGAGGATAGGAGACATGGTCACAGTTTGGGGATTCCAACTCAAATATGATACATATCACTTCTAAAGAGAAAGGTTAATGTGAAAATTTCTGTTTGGCTTACCTCCATAATTTTATAATTCAGGAAAAGAGAGATGAAATAATACACCACCATTAAACCAGCATATGAAAAAACCAGAAAATGAAAGGAAAAACTTCTAACCTCCAAACGAGTGAAATGCATTTCACTCAAACATTAAGAAAAAATAGTCCTCCAATTCAAAAATCTTCTAAAGCTAATTACTGGAAAATGTGATTAACGCGGAAAGAAATGCATAATCATAACACCCAAAAAGCTATCATTCAAAAAATTCAAAATCAATGGCATTATCGTCACCTGCTAAATAACGAAAAATCAGGAGCAGCACAATTATCCCAGCGTTTTTGAAGCAGCCGCGGGGCTAAATGCTGAGCAGTGATTAAATAAATAGTGATTCAAAGAGCAAGTTTAAGAATCAAATCATGAATTTGCTTTTGCTTGCAGACTGTATTTATGGAAAATGAAGACAGAATGAACAGAAGAGAATAGAAGCCGAGAGCGAGACGTATGAAGAAAGGCTTTAGTGCGTTGCTATAAAGATATGGTTGTTGGGCTTTGAGCTTACTAACTAATTCGTAATTCACTTATGATGTGAGATGAAGTGGATGCTGACGTATATCCACTCTACTTTTTTAGCCAATAAGAGCCTTTCTAAACGATACGTGGCCCTCCATATTTAATGCCGCCCATTTTAGTGAGGGACCAGCGGGAGCAATAAGTTTTTGGTAAATTACGCTCTATTATTAGTTTTAATTTGTTTTAGTATTTAATTTTTTTAAATTATACTTAAAGTTTTTATTTTATTTTACCGTTAAAAATTTTAGTTTTTGTTTCATTTTAGTACTTTGTTTAAAATTTAACGTTAAGTTTTGAAAAAAATTGAAAGTTTAGATACTAAAATAGGCTAAAATTGATATTATATGTACTAAACGTGTTAAGTTTTTAACAACATGTCTAAAATGAAATGAAAACTAAACATTATGTATGATTTAAAAAAAATGAAAGTTTAGGTACCAAAACGAACCGAACTTATAGTTTAGGTACTAAATATGCAGTTTATCCTTTTTACTAAATTTATATTTTAATATTCAAATTTTGATTTTAAGATTAATTTAATATTTAAAGTTTTTTAATTACATATATTAATTTAATTTAAATTAATAGTACTAGTGAATAACTTATTTGTACGAAATCAAATTTAAATATTAAGTTAAATCGTAATTCTATATTTAAAATCTCAACTACAAAACTATATGCAAATATCAATTAAACTAAAATTCATTCATATTTTTTCCCTCTCTTTACTAAAAATATGTCTTAATTCACTTACGATATTTTTTCCTTGCAACTTTTTCAATGTTATCGGGTTTGTATTTATTTTCATATATAATGATCTTAAATGCGATAAAAATGATATTTAAAATATAAAATATTACAGAATTCATATAATAATATATATATATACTTGACATAATAAATTTATATAGGTGTTGTATACTTGTTTAGAAATATAAAGCATATAAACATTAATTCTTAAAGAAATATAATATATATTTTAAATTAATCGCTGATATTTAATATATTAATCGATTAATTGAGATTGAATTTTAGAGAAATTTATTATGTGAACAACTCTCTCAACCTAATTTACTGAAAAATATAATATATTTTAACATTGGTGTTCTAAAAAAAACATACGCCATTATATACGTATTCTATTAGATATGGTTGAACACAAATTTGGACGAAAACGGGACTTTCATTCACCAACTTTTGATTTCAATTCAAATTACCTTTCTCCTAAGAATAATTTGTTTTATTAGACAATTTTATATTATATAGCTCTTTGTGTCTGTGTATATAAATACATATCAAACTAAGAATATTGAATTTTGAGAGCCGACGAAATTATCATTTCAAGATCATTATAAAAATAATGATATTACCATTTAATTAAAATTCAACTAAAAAATCATATATTAAATATGAGATTTGGCATAATAATAAAGGCATTTTCAATCCCTTAAATACCCATGTTTATTATTATTATTTTTTGAAGAAATTAAAGACCCATGTTTTGTTCCCCTAAAACCATCCCTTTTTTCAATTTTTTGTTGTTGAATGACATGAGAAAAAACAAATGTTGAGTTAATCGATTGATGAATCGGCCAAGAGGGGGTGAATTGGCAATGAAAATTTCGGTGGAAGCTTTTGCAGAAAATTAAAAATATTTGCACAACGATTTAGAGTGGTTCGACTTTTTCAACCAAAGTCTACGTCCACTACCTTAGCTATCCACACTAAGGATTTTCCACAAATTCACTAATTTGTCTTTCTTTTGAGGACAAAGAGTAACCTTACAACTCCCTCAAAAATTATACCCCAAATTCTTGAGAACACTCTCTCCCAAAGAGAAATACACAAATTTTGCAAACTTACAGAAAAACCTCACAAGACAATATGTTTGCACAATTCTAGAACAAAGAAAGAACACTCAAGAATGAATACAATTGAGCACAAATGTTGTTCTTGAAAGCAAAATGAATATTGAATAAAAATAGGCTTGAAATGCTCAAACTTGAGGTTTGATGTTTTCTCTTTGATTCTCTAGCTTTTCTTCTTAATTGTTGTTTCTTGTTATTGATCAATGGCTCCTGAGCTTGTTTAAATACACATTGAATCACTTCTGAACGTTGAGGATCATTGGTGAAGTCAATAGAGCCGTTGTGGTGTGAATACCATTTAAAAAATCAGTTGGGAGCGTAGGTATATCGGTACACTATCAAGGTGTATCGGTACACTCAGTGTAAAATTCAAATATTTCGACCATTGGTTAACCTGGTGTGTCGGTACACTCAAGAGTGTATCGGTACCCAAAGTACATTCTATCTTTCTCGGAGCCAGGAGTGTATCAGTACATCAACTGTGTATCGATACCCAAATTAAATTTGAAGTTGGGGGTGTATCGATACATCCAATAGTGTATCGGTACCCCCTTTGTAAAAATCATTTTTAGCCCAATTATGGTTCGAAATACTTTGTAAAAATTATTTCAAAAATATTTTAAGATTAAAACACAATTTTACACTTAAGTAAGGATTAAAATTGACATTTGAAAACTTGGAGTAATATTTTTGATATTCAAATAATTTAATCGAATATATAATTTAAATTGAATATAAAATCTTAAAATTCAATAGTACATTATTTGTTATATTGAAACATCAAAATGTTTTCAACAATCTCCCCTTTTTGATTTAACAAAACATTTAAGTAATTTTAAGATTTTCTTTGAAAATCATTTTTGAAACCAATTTAGAAAAATTACTCCCCTTACTTTATTCTCCCCATTTTTGTTAAATCAAAAGACTATAAAATGTTTAAACAAGTTTTTTTTTAAGAAAATAGCCAATTGATTTATATAAATATAGATATAGCTTAAGCTGCTAAGATCTCAATCAAGAGAAATGTTAACCATTAGATCATAATCAATATTCATATATAAATGTGTAATGGTAATTGGTCATAATTTGTCTAAAATGTAAATGGTGCATATACTAACATGTAACATAAGTTTTAATAACATTCAACCAAACCAAATTCAAACAACTAAATTCAAATAACCAAAACATCCAAGTTTAATCATCCATACATAAAAATCCAAAAACATTCAAAATGTTTTAACAATGAGTTCTAATTCAATCATAGAAAACTAAGCAAGAAAGGGTCTAATCATCCATAGGTGGATCGGGAGGAGGAAAATATGCTCGCATCTCGAGTGTAAGCGCATTTAATCATTCGTTCATAGCTTCGTTGTTTGTGCACATCTCCCATTGAATTTCCAATTGTTGAGCCCCCATTGTTGTTAATTGGGACTCTATGGATGCAAACCTTAAATCGAATGTCTTCATAAATGATCGAAAGTATGGAGGCATTGGACTCTCTTGCTGGACCGACTCGTCCTCGGGTACATGATCATCGATATCTTGCATAAGTTCTTCAAGCTCTGGATCATCATCAGCTGTTGGCTCCGGTGCAGCTCGTGAGGAACTAACACCCGATGTTTTTTGGGTTGATCGAACCCATTGATCCTTTTCCCCGGACCAACCCGATTTCTTCAAGGTTGTAAGATTTCTTCAAGCTGAACCCTTTGATTGGATTTGATAAACAAATTACTTAGAAGACAACCGTAAACTAAGGTTTCTATATATTTAGACAGGACATTGTTTATGATTTCTACAAGCTCAGCGAAAATTATTTGTGACAAATTTATTTTCTTATTATGTTGGATACCATAAATCTAGAGCTATAAGGGTGGAGTATCTACCTCCAGATGGTCTAAACCACCAAGAGATCATTAAGTAAAGGAAACACTTGTGATGAGTCAACAAGGTACTTGCACTCGCCTTAGCTCTATAATTGGTAGCAACAATTTCTTTTTCGTTATCTAAACCCACGTTATCTAAACAAAAAATGTTAGTGATTGTGTCAGAGTCAATATAAAGGAATTGACCTAAGAGATACGACTGAATCCCTACGGTGGCAGTTTGACGCTCATTTTGGACACAAACTGCATTTGAATAGAAAATGCGGACAAGTTGGTGATAGACAACATGTTTAAGCTGAAACAGTTTATCAAATTTCCAAGATATAAGGGTAAGAAGATATTCAAAATTCATATCGATCATGGCTTGGATTGAGGGGATACGCTCTTCCCGGATTTTATATGACTCGAATAGATTAACAAACCTATTGTATAGATCTTCTCGACAACCAGGTTAGTTAAAGCAAGAATTATGGATAGTCATATCGGGAGCGTTTGGGTTTGGATTTTGAGATGGAATATGAGGTCGGTTTTGAAGTTGGTTTGACCGACTAGAAGATAACCTAGGGCGTTTTGAATGAGACATGGTTTTTAATCAGAATGGATAAGGACACCTGCAATTTTTAAAACACATGTATGCAATAAAATCAATCCCAAAACTCAATACGAGTCCATAATATTCAAGGTTCTCTAAAAATAATCCTAATGAGCAAAATTTGAAAACTATTTTGAAAACAATGTTTAAAAATCATAATAAGTATATTTTTCATGAAAACAACATAATTAAATCAAAAACAACAATTTTAAAAAATAAAGCAATTTTTTTTTATTTCAAAAATTAAGAAAAATTTTGTGTTTTTGATGAAATTAGTTGTAGATTATAGTTCTAGACTACAATCTAACAAATGTATGATATCTAATTCAGCTTATAACTAATTAAAAAACTAGTCATGTGTTCAAAAATAAAAAAATATGGTTTTAGAAAAGTTTACCTTGAAAAATTTTGGATTTGAGTGAGAATAGATGTTGTTTGCACGATTTTGATGATCGTAGCAGGTTTAGGAGTGAAATATGAGCAAATTCTGACTTGAATCGTTGAAAATGAGCGAAGAGGAGATTTTGGGTGATTTTTGGAGAGGAACGGTGGGAGTGTTTTTGTTTTGAAGGGTTTGGCAAACTGTTATATTTAGGGATCTAAAGTCAAAAAACCCAACGGGTGTATCGGTACACTCATGAGTGTATCGATACACATTCAAGGAATGTATTGGTACACATTCATAGTGTATCAATACATAGCGAGGAGGTATCGATACACTTTGCACAAAAATGTCAAAATCTGTTTTTAAGCACTTAGAATGCTAAATTGATTAGCTCTAGTGGTATTGGCAACTCATATATAGAAAATTAACAATGTTCAGTCAATCAAATCTATCCTTAAATTTTATTTGAACATATTATTAATTTTCACTAAAGATCATAAACTCCCCTAACTAATAGCATAAAATGCATTCAAAAATTTATTTTTATAAGCATTTTTCATTTCTAATTAGAAGTGCTAAAATTATTTTAAACACCAAGTGAAGATAGATCAGTTAAACCTAATTCTCTCTTAAGTGTCCAAAATCTTTCTTTATCTAAAGGTTTTGTAAAAATATCCGCTAATTGATGCAAAATATCAACAAATTCTAGAACTATATCTCCTTTTGTGACATGATCTCTAATGAAATAATGTCTAATTTCAATGTGCTTAGTTCTAGAGTATTGGATGGGATTTTTAGCGAGACAAATAGCTCTAGTATTGTCACACTTGATAGGTATGGTACCTACTTCAATTCCATAATCTAAAAGTTGTTGTTTCATCCAAAAAACTTGTGCAACAACTACCAGCTGAAATGTATTTACTTTAGTGGTAGATAATGCAACACAATTTTGTTTCTTTGAAAACCATGAAATCAGTATATTTCCTAGGAATTGACAAGTACCGGAGGTGCTTTTCCTATCTATTTTGCATCCTCATAATCCGCATCAGAGAAGGCATGCAAGCTAAAGCTAGAGTCTCTAGGATACCAAAGTCCTAAGCTAGGAGTTCCTTAAGGTATTTAAAGATTCTCTTAATGGCTAGTAGATGTGATTCCTTAGGGCAAGATTGAAATCTAGTACATAAGCAAACACTAAACATAATGTTCGGTCTACTTACGGTTAGATAAAGTAAAGAGTCAATTATTGACCTATACAATTTAACATCTACACATTTACCTCCTTCATCTTTGTCAAGCTTTATAGATGAGCTCATTGGAGTGTCATGGAGTTTACCATTTTCTAATCCAAACTTTCTGAGCATATCCTTGACGTATTTTGCTTGATTGATTAAGATGCCATCTTTTCTTTGCTTGATTTGGAGTCCCAAGAAAAATGAGAGCTCCCCCATCATGCTCATCTTGAATTCACTATGCATTAGTCTAGAAAATTCTTGGCAAAGAGCATCATTAGTAGAACCAAATATTATATCATAAACATAAATTTGAACTACTAATAAATCTTTACCTTTTTGCTTTAAAAACAATGTAGTGTCAACTTTTCCTTTTGAAAAACCTTTTTCTATTAAAAAATTTGACAATCTTTCATACTAAGCTCTATGAGCTTTTTTTAAGCCATATAAATCTTTTGTCAATTTAAAAACATGATTTAGAAATTTTGAATCTTCAAAACCAGAAGGTTGTTCCACATACACTTCTTCTTTTATAAAACCATTTAAAAATGCACTTTTAACATCCATTTGATATAATTTAAATTCATTGAAACATGCAAATGCTAATAACATTCTTATTGCTTCCATCATAGCTACAGGAGAATATGTTTCATCATAGTCCATGCCCTCTTCTTGAGTATAGCCTTAAGCAACAAGTATAGCCTTGTTCCTCACTATATTACCACTTTCATCAAGCTTATTCCTAAATACTCATCTAGTACCTACAATAGATTTATTATTAGGTCTTTCAACTAATGTTCATACTTTACTTCTCTCAAATTGATTTAACTCTTCTTGCATAACCATAATCCAATTTTCATCTTCTAATGCTTCTTTAATATTTTTAGGCTCTATGCATGAGATAAATGCAACATAATTACATATATTTCTAAGAGAAGATCGAGTTGTTACCCCTTTGGATGGATCACCTATAATTTCACCATCATTGACATAATTGTATTCTCTTGGGTAAGAGACTTCTCTTTCTTCAATGGTTGGATTCTCGAGAACATCGTGAGTTTCCTCATCTTTCATTTCTTCATTTGATGATGGTTCTCCAATGTCGTGTGTATTTATAATACCTATGTCATCATCAACACAAGAATCATTCCCCGGAAGGGGATTATCATCGAAAACAACATGTATAGATTCTTCTACCACTAAAGTTCTTTTATTTAATACTCGATAAGCATTAGAATTTAAGGAATAACCCAGAAAAATTCCTTCATCACTTTTAGCATCAAATTTGTCAAGGTTGTCTTTACCGTTATTTAAAACAAAACATTTATATTCGAATGGATGAAAATAACTAATATTAAGCTTTTTATTTTTGAAAATTTCATATAGAGTTTTCTTTAAAATAGGCATAATCATTACTCGATTAATAACATAACAAGCGGTATTTTTGGCTTCCGCCCAAAAATATTTTGGCAAATTGTTTTCACAAAGCATGGTTCTAGCAATTTCTTCTAAAGTTCGATTTTCTTCTCAACAACTCTATTTTTTTGAGGGGTTCTAGGTGCATAAAAATTATGGCTAATTCCATTAGAATTACAAATCTCAGTAAATCCAAGATTTTTAAATTTAGTACCATGATCACTCCTAACACTAAAAATGGAGTAACCTTTTTCGTTTTGGATTACTTTTGAAAACGTGATGAATTTTTCTAATGCTTCATCTTTAGCACTTAAGAATAGAACCCAAGTATATCTATAATAGTCATCTACCAAGACAAATGCATATTGTTTTCCACCCAAGCTAGTAATCCTAATTGGCCCAAAAAGATCTATATGAATCAATTGTAATACTCTACTAGTTGATATATCATTAATGAACTTAAAGGAAGCTCTTTTGTATTTTCCTTTAGCACATGCATCACATATTTTATCTTTATCAAATTTTAGCTTTTACAATCCTCTTACTAAGTATCCTTGAATTAGTTTTTGTAAAACACTCATGCTTGTATGTCCTAGTCTCCTATGCCATAACCAACTATCATGTTCATCCTTAGCAACTACGCATAAATTATTCATGTTTATTGAATCTAAATGCACCATATAAATGTTTCATATTCTATGACCAATAAGCATAATCAAAATAAATGCAATGTCAATCATTTTTGTAATTATTTAAAATAAGACATTGTATTTTGTCAAATTTATTATTCAAAAGATTATGGTTTAACTCATTCACATATAAAACATTATGCAATGTCGATTATTGAAATTAAGTGCATATGCATAAAGCTTTAAAGATGTTATGCATTAAAAGTTGATATCAATTGTTAGAAAGATATCATTAAAAATTTGAATTTTATGCATAAAATTAAAAAGTTTAAGGTAAAAAATTTGTAAAACCAAAGTATTTGAAAAATTGATATCAATTGTTAGAGAGATATCATTACATTTAAAAACAATTTTGACTAAAAATTATTATGATGAACTAAAGTTATAAAAAATTACTGAAAATTTTAAATTGTTCATCATAAAGCATTTTTCAATATACATGAGATAAAACATAATTATTTAAGTTAAAACATAATTATTTAAGATTAAAAACTCATGTATGCATAAACTAAATGAACAACCAAATAAAATAATAACATTAAGTTTAGAGGTTACCCATTACTTTTTCATGTGTAGCTAGAGCATCTTGAATATCATCAATTTCATCTCCATTGCTCCCACACACCTACAAGAGACATTTAAGTAGATTTTGGTATCCAAATTGCTTTGGATCCTTGAACACTAGTTTCAATGCCCCTTGTTCCTTTTGGAACCATACTAGTCTAATTTTAAAAAGTTTTCCTTTCTTTAATGGACAAGTATGTTCCTTATGACCATGATAATGACAATGTGAGCATATTTTCATCATGAACTAAATGAATTATTTAAAATGATCTCTTTTTCTTTTGTTAAGCATTCAAACTTAACTTTCAAATCGAAATTTTCTTTTTCAATACTTTCAAATTTCATTTTTGAAAGTTCTAAATCCTTCTTCAATATTTCATTTTGATTTTCAAAATCCATTTTAGTTTCTAGAAGAAGTTTGTTTAATTCGAAAATTTATTTTTCAAAGTTTTCAGATTTCGTTTTTGAAAGCTCTAACTCCTTTCTCAACATTTCATTTTGATTTTCCAATTCTATTTTAGATTTCAAAAGAAGATAATTTTTAGCTATAAATTTAGAGATCAATTTCTTATATGCGGAGTTCATTGTCTCAAACTCCAAAAATAATTCATAATAGGCATTTTGTAACTCATTAAAAGAATGTAAATTTAATTTATTTGAGTTTGAAGGTACCTCGGGCTCTTCTAGAGCTAATAGAGACATCACCGTAATTTGTTCTTCTTTCTCGTCTCTATAGATTTCCTCAAGCTTGTCCCATAGCTCTTTGGCATTTGAACAAGAAGAAACTCCTTTGTAGATGTTTCGATTAATTGCACAACATAACATGTGCATAGCCTTTGCATTTTGTTGAGCTTTCTTATGTTCCTGATCACTCCACTTTTTGCCTTCTTCTTAGGAGAAGAATATCATTTCTTGATTATTATCCATGCTTCAAGATCATGTGCTTGGATAAATACCATCATTAACCTATTCCAACGACGATAGTTTGTTCCATTGAAGTAAGGAGGCACATTAATTGGCGGGAGTCTTCCATGAGAATGAACCAGAAGTGGACGTCATCTTTCTCGATTTAACTCTTCCGAATCGACTCAAGAGGTGGTTAAACCTTCAAATGAGTGAGGCTATGATACCAATTGTTGAGCTAATCGATTGATGAATCGACCAAGAGGGGGTGAATTGGCAATAAAAATTTCGATGGAAGATTTTGCAGAAAATTGAAAATATTTGCACAGCGATTTAGAGTGGTTCGACTTTCTCAACCAAAGTCTACGTCCACTACCTTAGCTATCCACACTAAGGATTTTCCACAAATTCACTAATTTGTCTTTCTTTTGAGGAAAAAGAGTAACCTTACAACTCCCTCAAGAATTATAACCTAAATTCTTGAGGACACTCTCTCCCAAAGAGAAATACACAAATTTTGCAAACTTACAGAAAAACCTCACAAGGCAATATGTTTGCACAATTCTAGAACAAATAAAGAACACTCAAGAATGAATACAATTGAGCACAAATGTTGTTTTTGAAAGCAAAATGAATATTGAATGAAAATAGGCTTGAAATGCTCAAACTTGAGGTTTTATGCTTTCTCTTTGATTCTCTAGCTTCTCTTCTTAATTGTTGTTTCTTGTAATTGATTAATGGCTCTTGAGCTTGTTTAAATACACCTTGAATCACTTCTGAAGTTGAGGATCATTTGTGAAGTTAATAGAGTCGTGGTGGTGTGAATACCATTTAAAAAAACAGTTGGGAGCGTAGGTATATCGGTACACTATCAAGGTGTATCGGTACACTCATGTAAAATTCAAATATTTCGACCGTTGGTTGACCTGGTGTATCGGTACACTCAAGAGTGTATCGGTACCCAAATTACATTCGATGTTTCTCGGAGCCAGGAGTGTATCGGTACATCAGCTGTGTATCGATACCCAAATTAAATTCGAAGTTAGGGGTGTATCGATACATCCAATAGTGTATCGGTACCTCCCTTTATAAAATTAGCTTTGGTCCGGTTATGGTTCGAAATACTTTGTAAAAAGTGTTTCGAAAAATATTTTAAGATTAAAACGCAATTTTACACTTAAGTAAGGATTAAAATTGACATTTGAAAATTTGGAGTAATATTTTTTATATTCGAATAATTTAATCGAATATATAATTTAAATCGAATATAAAATCTTAAAATTCAATAGTACATTATTTGTTATATTGAAACATCAAAATGTTTTCAACAACAAAGCTAAACTAGATTACAATTTTTTTCTTTTAATCACGCAATAACACATGTTAATATATTATTTTGTCATCCATTAATTGAATGATTAATTTTATTAAATTATATTAAAATTGACACTAAACTGATAAAATATGTAAACAATGAGAATTAAATGTATAATTATATCGATTTTTTTAATTATCGTATCAATCCTTCATTATATGATTTAATTAACATCATTTAAATAGTTAATTTTAATTGACAAAAATAAATGACCGGTGATATATTGGAATTCTCCAATGTTAAGCCATCATGGAAATATAATTAACCTGTGAAATTATATAATTAGTTCATGTATTGTACGTAAATTTTGTATATTTAATCTATGTACTATACTTTGATTAATTTTAATTCATGCACTTTTTAAATTTTGAAATTTAACCCTTACCAAAACAATGCTTAAGTTGTCATAACTTAAACAATAGTTGTTAAATTCCTAAAGTTGAATTATATCTTTCTCAATATTATGCTTAATTTGTAGATTTTGTTCCCGTTTTTCAAATCAGTTATTTTAAATTTATGTAATTTAATCAAATGATTCCTATATGGACAAGTTACGACTAATATTTCAAAAAAATTTAAAAATAAAAGTAAAAAGTAAAAAAAAAAATAATCAAGTTAGAATACATTGACTAAATTTAGAGTTTATACATAATGTATAGGCTAATAACATAATTAAACCAAAATATAAAATTGAGAATTTTTTTTTTGATATTTGTATGAACATTTATTCAAATTCCCGACCACAAATTTGCAAAAGGCTGCTATATTGTAAATATTACAATATAAATAAAATAATGAAATTTCAGGATATTTTATATAAATTCAATAAACCCAAACGAAACTTATTTGTAAAAATAAAAGTTTATCTTTTTTCAAAAAAAAAATCAAACAAAACTTATTTGTAAAGACCTTCGTGTCGTTGTCACAGCAATTCAATATCGTGCTACCTTCCCACTCGAAAATTAGCAACCTACTTCCGTCAGAGCTATGGTCGTTTAGTATGTGGTCAATTTAGGGGGTCTTGAAAATCGGATACCCACATTTTTGAATATATGAAATATTAGGTACCTGATTTGAGTAGTATATTTTGTTTGTCCTTAACTTGACCTGTTAAGTTCATATATCGGATAGTTAGGTATTCATAAAATTCAGATTCATCTATTTTTTAAAAAAATTATTTTTTAAAATTATATAGAAAATATATTAAATTTTAAAAGTTTATCATACACAAAAATTAGTGATTTAAAGTTAGTTTTAAGGATATATATATATATATATAATTTATTTTCAAAAGAAAAAAAATTAAAGTTATTAATATCGTTCGTGATCTTTTCAAATATCATATTGACAAATTAATAATTTTTTGTAAAATCTAAAACGTAAAAGTACATAATATAAATCTAAGAAAAAATTAGAGATTTAAATTTAATTTTAAGATAAAAATATTAAGAACCTAAAATAAAAATATGATTTAAAATATATATATATTATCAGGTCGGGTCAGATCATGTATCCAATTATAAAATAATTTGACCCGGATCCAATCCAACTACCTGAGAAAATCCCCCAGCCCAGTCAGATAATCTTTTTTAGAAAATTATCCCTTTTTTAAGTTCAGGTCAATGAACAATATCTAGGCTAATATATATATATATATATATATATATATATATATTAATTTTAAATAAATTTGAATCGTATTTGAATACATGTTTTTTATATACTATAATAATAATTATTGTATTAATATTTTAATTTTTTTAATATTAAGGCATATAATTTAACAATTAAACGGATTTTATTATATAGGTAGAACAATTTCTTTAATTTGATTATTTAATTTCTTTAATAGAATGGTAAAGTTCAATGTTTTTAATAATATTGCATAGGGTCGTACAATGAACCGAGTCGCTTTGGCCTTTGGGGTGTACAATGAACTAAGGCAGGCTCAATCAGAAAAAGATAACGAGTTGTATTTAAAGTTGAGGACGTGTAAAAATAATGAATATATATATATATATATAGTTAAATATCATAATTTGAATTTAAATTAAAGAAATTAAAATTATAAAGGATAGTAATTAAATTTAAAGATTTAAAATTTATAAATTTAAATAAATTTGATTAGTAAGATAATACTCATCAATTTAATTAATTTTTTTCTTTCAATTTGATTTCACCGAATCCTTAATTTTTTTTGAAAATAAATTTGATTAATAAGATAATACTCATCAATTTAATTTAAAAAGAATGCACCGTGGTTGTGGAAATATTCTAGCATAAACATATGGACCAAATACAAACCGAGATTTAGATAATCAACACAACTGCATAGCCAACTCACACCAACCATCGACACCTGAGCGAAACAGAGAGACTAAAACCCAGACCACCTGTGCGACTATGAGCAACATCCGAAAAAACCAGGCATCCCACTCTACGCAATCGCTAAAAAGCAAGACTTTTGCTTAATCTTATTAATAATAATTGAGCAGGTTAAATCACTCAATAAGATGAATGCGATAATTAATGATTCCAAAAAGATGAAGTTAAGTGTCCAACGTGATGTTATAAAGATTTCAAACACTCTCTATGTTACTAATACACGATGAAATCCATATGAATTTATCAGAAATTGAAAAAGTTTCAATCATTATTCGCGCTATAGTCAAGAAAATCTAACGTTGTTTAGAGAAAGTGCATATTATCGCACGATACCTCAAGTTCAACGTCTCGACGACTCTTAAACCAGATCGATGCTGAATGCGAGAAAAAAAATATTAATTAATTGCAATTGTTTGGCAACTTTTTACAAACAATTAATAAAGCAAGGTTACGTGCGTATACTAATTCGTGACGATAAATACTGAAGAAAGAAACCAGTATAAATATGCCCTGCTTTCTTAGCTTTGTAATAATCTGAAATGGACACCATCGAAGCTCTGATTCAATGTCCACGGCAACAAAAATGCAAAGTTCTTCACTTGGTTAGTATGTATATTTTTCAATTAACATTTAAAGCCTCGAAAGGTGAGATTTGGTCGTTGATTTTTCTTTTTTGCAGGTGAGGCATGGACAGGCTTGGCACAATGTAGAAGGAGAAAATAATCGTAAAGCATTGTTGTCTCCTCATCTGTTTGATGCACAGCTCACGTCGTTAGGTTTTAAACAGGTTTCATCATTTATCTATTTAAATTTAAACTTATTATCTGAATTCTTATTCATATTCTAATACATGTAGATACAAGTATTTAAAAGAAGAAACATAATCAAAATGACATAATAATCGTTTTTGAGATTTTTTTTATCAGGTTGCTGAACTGAGAAAGGATGTTCATACCAGTGGCCTACTTCATAAGATTGAGTTAGTCATCACTTCCCCTTCGTCAAGGTACTGTGATCGTTTCGTACTCCTTATTTTTTCCCCACTAAACTTTTAATGTTTTGATAATTTTATTAAATATATAGTAAGATATAAGATACGAAATAAATATTCGAATTCGAATGAAAAAAACAGAGTCATTAATCGATATATATATTGATAAAGAGGATAATGTAATAATGCAGAGCCATGCAAACAGCTGTCGGAGGTTTTGGTCTGGATGGACATAAAAACAGTGGAGATATCGTCTCCAAAACTCTCAATACCCTTAAAATCATGGCAGTTGAACTCTGTCGAGATCGTCTAGTAAGTTGAATTTGAAATAAATATGGATATTTTAATGAATATATCTCAATATAAATAAAAAATATTTTAAATAATTTTATTATAATTTGACTGCAGGGGGTTCGCCCATGTGATAAGAGGAGAAAGGTGAGCGATTGCCAGTCACGTTTCCCTTCAATCGATTTTTCAATGGCAAGTTTACGTACTTCCAACAGTGCTTTATAGTTAAAAACTTGTTTCCATGTTAAAAAAAAATCATATTTATAAACTTAAACCTTCATTCAGATAGATGATGAAGATGACAATCTTTGGAATCCCAACCTTCGAGAGTCGACGGAAGAACTTGCAGAGAGAGTAGCCAAATTACTAAAATGGTAACGGAAGAACTGACTGAAGGGCACTTTTAAAGATCATACCTCGCGTTTATGTAAGTAATACTGAATTCGTTGGTAAATTGATTTGACAGGCTATGGACAAGGCCGGAGAAGGAGATAGTGATTGTAAGCCATGGAATAGTTCTTCAGCAGATACTGATAAATTTACTTGGAAACGACGGCCATCCAACAGTAAGGGCTGCATCGTGCCGGCGGTGAGAGCCCTTGGTTATGCCCAATTGTTTTATAACTTGTTTTTATAAGCTCGTAATTATTGTTTAATTTCAGCTTCGGCCATTGTGAGCTTCGTTCAGTGGTCATATTGGATAAAAGGTCAGGTTTTGCTCATGGTGGTTCATCCCCCTCCCCGTCGCTCGGTTGCGGTCAACAAGAAGACGATGTGTCGAAGGTATCGGGAAATTGCCTGGAGTTGATAATAATCTAAAGTCGTCGCTATTTCTGCTGGCTGTTACGTAGGACAAGAGGGTGGTATCTACGATTCATTTATCTTTAATGTCTGTTTCACTCTTTTTGCATTGGAACTTTCTACTTTTGTCGGTGGAACTGAACCTTGCATACATTTATTGCAATTGCATCAAATTCTCACTCTATCCGTTTCTTAAATTTTATTTTAATTTTTTATTTCAAATTAATTATAAAATAATATTTTATTTAATATCTAATATTATCTAATTTATACGCAAACCAAGCGACCTCGGTGATTAAGAGATTTGTCATTTTTTCTTAGAAGTCTCGAACTCGAACATTAACAAAAGTACAAATATTCATTGTCGATTTGTTGAGAGTTTTTAAATATATATTACATTATATTCACCGTAAATTTATAAAAATATTTATTTAATTTAGTTATCAATATCTCTATAATATTTTTTGAATGTTTCATAATTAATTTTATGATTTATGGAATTTACTATTATCTCTCAATAATATCATTTTTAATAATTAAATCTAAATTCTCTCAATAAAAATTTAACATATATTTTTAACTTTTTTTAATGAAATTTGAAGCTTTTAAGTTCTTTATCTTTATATACAATAACACAATATACGTGACAACCACCATTTTATTTTTTTCTTTTTCTACTTTTTACAATGTTATTTTTCTCAAGCAACCTATAGCTAGCAAGTTGTCCATTTTTAATAATTTATTCTCCATTTACCAAGAATGATATAAGAAAGAGACCATAGAAAGCGACTCTCATTTATATAAAGAAAGATTATTCATGATTTGCATAACAGTTTTGTAGACCTGGGGACTTTTGAAAGAACAATATCAAATAGTTCTTTTATCTTATCAATTAGAAATTAAAATATAAACTATCAACATATATTGTTTTATTTATATTATCTTTCACATTATGCATTCTTAGATAAAAATGATAAATCATAATATATTACATGTTATTAAATAACCTAAATGAATTGACCTCTATTATGTATATATTTAGCTCAAATTAATGGAATATTGGACGCTAAAAAGCAAGATCCCATTGCTTTCAATGTCAAAATCTTAGAACAAATCATGACAATTTTTAATTTTGAAAATTTTATGAACATTCAAATTTCAAAGTCAAGCAATATAGTGTTCCTTTGAAGTTATCTTCCCACTCACCTCACCCATGATGACTAATCCAATAAACTTGCAATCCATTTTTCTTCTTCCTTTTTCAACATCTTTGAAAACCATGATTTTGTTTACCTTTTATAATGTGAATGCAAGCATAAATATACCAATCTTTAGTAAAAAAAATTAGGGTAGGAACGACATGAAATCATTCAACTGATTGGTTATTTTAATAAGAATTATGCACGAACTAAGTGATTTCGGTAGTTTAGAGATTTGTTATTATCCTTTGAAGTCTAGGGTGTTCGAACCACGTATACATAAGTATGAACGTTCGTTATTAAATGGTTGAGTCTTTGAACATACATTACTTTGTATTCACATGAGATTTATAAAAAATAAGAATTATAAAAGTTTAAGAATCTATCGAACGATCTCAGTAGTAAAAGGGAGTGTTGTCATTTTTAAATGTCCCAAATTCGAACAATTGTGTTTGTAATGTGCATTATAAGTTGTTAATAAGTAAAAAAATTATAAACATATATTACTTGTAATCACTTAACAATAATAATAAATAAAATTCTGAATTGACTGAATTGTTTCTATTGTAATTAAGTTAAAATATGTAATATAAATTTAATTATTTTGCTGGATTCAAAATGGCATGTTAATTATAATAATATTTAATTCTGGATAAAATCCATAAGAAGAAATGCCAGCTAATGGCGTTTATGCATTACATCCTCCAAATTATAGGCAGTGTTGAAAAGAATGGAAGAATCTTCCAAAAATCAATTGGACCCTTTTGTCCAATTATTGTAAATCAAAGGCCCAAAAATAGGGCCTGAAAGGTACATACAACTGTTTCCCATTTAGCTATATTTCCCAAGATGTAATAATATATGTTGATGACTCAAGCTACTTCCGAACATAATTCTAAGGAATTTATCATCGCTGGCTATCGTTTTAGCCCATTTGGGGCTCTTCTTCTGCTAATAGGCGAATGTCTCTCGTCTCTTGGTCTGCTTTTTGTCAACCCCTTAACAGAGGGGAGTTAGGTTTGCATCGCTATGCTGACCATAATACTGTTTTTCTTTGAAAACTCGGGCATGCTTTAGTCTAGGAGCATAGTTATAAGTATAGATAATAACTAATTCTTAAATCAGTTATATAAATGAGTTATGATCCTCAAAAATAGACATTCTCGTATTTCTCTTATCCCTGTCAGAGAATTTATACTTAAAGGAATTCTATCTCCTTAGAATTTCATAATTAAATAAAGACTCAAGGATTTCAACATATCAATTTATTAAAGTACGCTTCAGCTAATCTAATATTTATTTTATTTTTGATGATTTGACATGATTAAATTCTACTTAATTTTCATATTTTATTTATAGTTTGGTTCTAACAGTAAATGCTCGGCTTTGCAACGTATGAGATATAGGTTGATTGTTTTATAGGGGTGTTCTCTATTTGTTTGGGGCTTTCTTTGTTCTTTGCCTCTTGTTTTGTAACTGAGCATTTGTTTAGTCTTGTTTTCAATATCTTGTTGAGAGCATATTATATGTTATAAAATGATATTATAGGTTGGCATAGTAAATTATTTCATTATCTTAGATAGTTTTTGATGAGGGCGAACGCCATGGGAGGATATTTCAGTATCTTGTAACCGAAAAATTGAATATTCATATTAAAAACGTTAAAACTATTATAAAAAATTAATTTTTTTGAATATATATTATAGGTTATAAAATGATACCTTATAAATTAAAAAAAATAAAAATGATTTTTAAAAGCGTATATTATACATAATATATACATGTAATATATATGCATATTATCAACACTTATACAAAGTATTTTTATTGAATTAATCGAGATTTACAAAATTTAAATTAGTAGAGACTTACAAATTTTGGATTAGTCAAAATTTATTATATTTTCTAGTTTTTTTATAAATCTTGACTAATTTAAAAGATAATTATATAATAAGTTTCGACATAAAATATAATTAGAACACATAGTAAATTTGACTAATCTAAAAATTATAAGTCTCGACTAAGTTAAATTTTGTAATTCTCGATTTATCCAGTAAAAATAATTTGTATGAGTGTTGATAATATGTATATATGTTACATGCATATATATATTTTTGAAACTAAAAAGTTTAGGCCCCAGTTCAGGGCCAGAGGATATCTAAAACTCAATTGAAATTTACATAAGAATTTACAAATTGTCTACCAAGAGTTACGGTGGTAGGATTCTTTAAAAATATTTAGTATATCCTTTTAAAACTATTTTTTATTTTTAAATAATTTATAAGTAATTATTTATAACCTATTATAAATATTCAATTCTTTAAAAAATTATAATAATATTAGTATTTTTAATACATATATTTAAATTTTTAGTAATCTAATTTAAATTTTTTGTATTTTTACATTTAATTTTTTGGATATTTGAATAATTTTATATTTATTATTTAAAATATTTTTTCTTATTTTTAAAAAAATTAAGTAACCCCTTAAACTTTTTATAAAAATCAATTGGGCCCTCAAACAAAATAAAAAAATCAATTTGGCCCATCTACTATACCATATGCTACATCATTAGCCATAATCAGCACTGTGGACCACCACATCAGCATCAAAAACTGCTTGTCAGCATTGTAACAATCAACAATGAAAAATATTGGTTAAATGGTAACATTGATTTATTTTTTGAATTAAAGAGCCACATCAAGAGAAAATATATGAGGGTCGTATTGCTTTTTCTTAAAGTATAGGGCTTGGGTGCCTATTTGCCTAAAATTTTTAATATGAGCGGATGGTTTGATCATTAAAAAGATTAATAAATATAAAAATCAATTAATTAATTTTATCTACATTTTGATTTAAGATAAAAATGGCATGTTAATAAAAATTAATATTCATTTAAGAAAATGAAATAAAATTAAATACCATGTTATTAGCTTACGAGTTAGGCGTAACGATGTCGTATTGTTAACGTGAATCGACTTGATCCCGCACGTTTTTTTAATTCGAAATACCGTCTTTGCCACCGAATATTTATTCAGATTCACAGTGAATTTCAAATTCTAGTAAACCCCGCTTATCTTTCTCCCTCTCAAAGTCAATCCATAAAAACCCCATTTTTTTGCTTTAAAGACTTTCAATGGAAAATCCTAGCTATTGAAGAGAAGCAGTAATGTCGACGATAGAGAAGGCTTTGATTCAGATCTTCGAGAGGAAGAATCGAATAATCGATAACGTGAAGCTGCAAATCCCTCTCTTCGATCACCAACTCGCTTCCAAATGTCTCATCGATGGCTTCGTTCCTCCGCCTTGGCTCCTCTCCTCTTTTTCATCCGGTAATCCTGCTCTCTGTTTCCATTTCAGCTTTACATTTTGAATTCATTTCAATTATATCTTAGATATAATATGGTTTTAGTTTCGTTATTAACGCTTATATTTTATTCCACTCCATTGAAATCCCTGATTTTCTTCGCCTTTTTTGTTGTTGTACATAATCGATTGAAGTTTCTTTAGCAATGGCGTCTTGAATTCTTCTTAATTCTTAGTTATTACTTTTGTGATTCTTTTAAATTCTAATAGGCGTAATGAATATTTGATTAAGTTTAAGCTTTAATTTAACAACGGTGTTTTGATTTACTTCTTAATTAATTTGATAATTTTCATTTAATGTTTGATTTTACATAATCGATGTGAAGTGTTCTTTAGCTATTGCATCTTGAATTCTTCTTTGTTGTTGCTTTTCTGATATTTTAAATACTAATATTCCATTCAACATCAATTTAGAAATGATGTCTTGATTTTACCTTTAAACTAATTCAATAATTTTGATTTAATGCTTAAACCTTTTAAAGCTAGAAGATGTTTGAAGGAATGTTTCATCGACTTTAAGATCTTAGTTTTAAAAACTGCTTCTTCAAAGATAGAAAAAACCTTTCCAGTTTCAAATTTCTTCCGTCTTCACTACATTTTTGCAAAGTCTTCTTTTCATTTGAATTCTTGATTTAGCAATTACTTTAGAATAATTTCTTTAGTTTTCCGTTAACAGTTCTTTTAATTAATTTATAAAAGAAAGGTATGCTTTCAATTTCAGAGTTGAACAAGGAAGATATCATCTCAGGACTCCTACTACCACGGTCACAATCTTCCATTCCGTACTGTTCTCTGTATCAACAGCCGGTTGTTACAAATGATAATGTACAGTTACCCTCTGTTTTATGCTCCCAATTTGATGCTTCAAATGAAGGCTTAGATAAGTTCCTTTATGATAAAGCCGGTGAGCTGGATCCTAGTGTTACATCTCCTCCACAAGATCGTAGATATGGAATGGTCTCAGATATTTGTCCTGACCCTTGTTTATCACTGGTAAGAATCCATAGATCTAAGTCTAGGCAACGTGCTTTAGAGCTTCGAAACAGTGCAAAGAAAATGTGTAAAAAAGGTGAGAGCTGTGACAAGAATTGTGATGCTTGCAATAGTCAAAACAACGTTCCCAAGATTTCATCTTTACAGTCTGGTCCTGTGGATAAGATGGAATTGATCAGAGCTGGAGGTAATGTTGTGAGTTATGAGGTGGAAAAGGAAGAAAGAGGACAATACAAGAGCAAGGAAAGAAGTGGTATTTTTTACTCTGGTAGAGTGACAAGATCAAGAAGTTCTGTCCAACCTTCCAAGTTCCAAAGTGGGCCTTCAGGTGCAGGCAACACTTCTCATGTTGCTAAGCAGGATGAGGTGGCACCTAGGGAATCCATCCGCAATTCAGGAGAACAGCATGTTGTTAATCATGAGTTATTGGAATTAGGATTTGTTGAACCTGTTGATTCTACTGAAAGTTGTGTAGTGAAAAATGAAAAAAGAGGTCAATGCTGGAGCCAGGGAAGGGGTGAAGATATTTGCCCCGGTAGAATCACAAAGTCGAGAACTGTTCATCCTCCAATTTCTGCAAGTAGTCCTCCAAGTTCAGACAAGAGCTTTTGCGTTGCAAAGCAGGATGATATTTTGCTTACAGAATACATTAACAAATCAGGACTACAGCCTGATGCTGCTGATGAATTATTGCAATCCATAAAGCCAGTTGATAATGCTGGTGCTTGTGTAGCAACAAAGGAAGAAAGAGATCAATACCAGAGCAAGGAAAGGGGTGGAAATATTTATTCTGGTAGGGTCACAAGATCTAGAAGTTCTGGCCAATCTCCCAAGTCTGTAAATGGGCTTTCATGCACAGGCAAAACTTCTGAAGTTGCAAAATTTGATGGCAATATATTTCTAGAAAGCATCAGCGGTATAAAAGAACAGCCTGGGGTTGTTGACAATTTATTGGCATCGTTAAAACCTACTGCTATCTCTGATGAAACATGTGTTTCTAAGGAAGGAAGAGACCACCGAAGCAAGGAAAAGGAAAGCAATGTTTATCAAAGAAGATTTACAAGATCCAGAAGTTTTAGCCAACATCATAACTTTGTAAATGAAAATTTGAAGCTGTATAGTTGTCCTGACAGGAGCATCAATGATGGCATTTGCAATTCAATGCAGCTTCCCTGCCATGTTAATGATCTTAATGAGTTGATTATGCCTTTCAATATCACCAATGAAGGTTGTGAGGTAAAGGCCCAAATTCATAACCAGACACTGGAGAAAGCTGTTGTAGATCAAAATAATGATGGTAGTACCAGGTCAAGCGCTGATTCTTGTGCAAAGTTGTTTAAACTTGATTCCTCTAATACTCAGGAGAATAAAGTTTCACAATCCAAATCAACAGCTTCCAACCAGTTCCTATGTGCAAAGTCATCAGTGAAGTCTGAAGTGGATGGACATATGGAAGTTTCTGTAACTCAAGTAGATTCCTTGCCTTGTATTGATGGTAGTGCTCTTGCTGAATTGGATCAATGTGATGCATTTGTTGCAGACACTGATGCAGATTCTGGTGAGCTAGTTGAGGCTTCAGCTAGTTCTGCCTCTAACTTGGATGATGGTAACAATTCTTCTCTTATCAAGTCATTGAATAGGTATGGAAGAGTTGAGTTGGAAGCTACAGGAAAAAGTTCACAATCTTCATCTGCTATGAAGGTGTTGCCCAAGGAACTTGATTTTAATGATTCGGGGGAGTGCACTGTGAAGGAAGCTTCTAGTCTTATATTGAAGAGTGAAAACATAATCAACTCATTGGAGAAGAGTTCTCTTACACCTCTTCCTTGTGCTGATAACCTGGTTGAAGTAACTTCTGTGCACTACGAAGAAAAACACAACTCATCCCATGAGAAGCAGTTGCAGGAGGAGCAAGAAGCTTTCTGCAATGAAGAGAAACTGTCTGAAACAGCTTTTAGCAAGACATCTGGTGGTAGAGCTTCCAATTTAAATGTTTTCTGCTCAGAAAAAGACACACCTGACGCTTGTACGGATGCTGTAACAAGTTCTGAGCCTGAAAGCAATGAAATTTCTGAGCAGGAAACTTTCATGGAAAACCTTCCAACTACCTTTGGAGTTTCTTATGATGCTTTGCATGGAAATTTGTTACAGGATGTTGCAAGATCTAATATAAATGTTGATTCAGGGATAGATCATCTCTTTGAGAAGGATTGTGGGAAGGTTGCAGTAAAATCCGTAATGTTGGCACCGGAAGCTAGTGATCTTCATCTTAATACTGATTTATGTAGGGGTCCTGCGATTTGTAGCCTTCCCCTGCTAAGGGTAGCAGATGCAACTTCCAATGATGCAATTGGGCATTCTAATGCTGCTGCATTTGAAGAAACAAAGGGCCATTCTCTGAAAGAGAAGAGGGAGTCAAGTCCTTCTCAAAATAAAAAAGAAGTTACAATGGGAAGATCTATTGCTGGTGACATTGATTTCGTTCTTGATCAAACACATGCAAAATCAAGGAACAAGAAGGTTTCAGTTCAGTCCATACGCCAAGGTAAACATTCTAGCTCCCATGTGGAGGGTTCATGGCCATGTAAGCGGAGGAAAATTGATGATCAACAAAATAATTCCCTGTCTTTTTCATTAAGCTTGAAGGTAAAGAACTTGGATTTATTTACTGTTTAGTTTTGTATAATATAATCATAATCATATTTAAAATCTAAAAAATTCTTTTATGTTTCAGGAAGAAGATGCTAAGCAATTAAGTGCTAAGTTTTTAGCTGATGAAGAACAAAATGGGGTATGCTACATTATGGGTGGATCAAAATCTTCCTCTATACTAATTCCTTATTATATTAATACCTATGACTTCCCATGAGCTAGGGATGTCTTATAGGCTTATACCCCTTTTCCTGCTATAAAAATGCTTACACTTTAACTAAATTTTATTTAGAAAACAATTGATTGAGCTAAAGTTTATTGTTTCTTTCAATGAGAATACTTTCTCTGTAAAGGTTATCCCATCTGAAAAAGATACTTTAGGCGCAAAGAATCTCAAATCCTCATGTCTTGCATTTTACTTGCATTATTTTGAATTCAGTCACTCAGAAGGTGGTATATTGCTCAGTGGCAGCATTTCCATAGCATAATATGTGGAATGTGTACTTATATATTACACAGGTTACTATCTTACTGGAAAATTGAACACTACAGCTAAGTGGATGTCTTATTTTTTATGTTTCCAGGGGAAATATAATCGAAAAGAAAGGGGAGGAAGGGAAAACATCTCTTCAAGTTTGCGCATAGAGACCCTTGAAAACTTTGACCACTCAGTGGACGGAACAGGAGTGGCAGATTCATCCAGCTTCATGGTTGGTTCAACAAGGAAATGCACTGCAGATGAGAACAAAATCATATTGAATTTTTGGGATAAATCTGAATTTGAAAATATAGAACATTTGGCTTATGATGAAAGGAGCAACAAAGAAAGCAAATGTCATCTAGGAGATGTTGAGTTTTCAACTTCTCTCATCAGTTCTTCTTGTCGACTACCTTCAGATTTGATCGGTGCAGATCAAAGCAGACCAGAACTTGAGGGGTTTATTATTCAGACAGATGGTAAACGAATATGCAAGGCCGAAGAAGGCATTAGCTTTGAAAATTTTCACCTTCCAAATACTACAATAGGACGTGCTAGCCTTCTGGAACAGCTTTGCAAATCTGCTTGTATTCATACCCCATTGCCCCAATTTCCATACACGTATAGATTACACCAAGCAACTGGTCTTACCAATCTGTTCCCAATGGACTTCTAGAATGTACGGACCTGTGGAGCACTAGTTGCTTTGGTGAAGAAACAAACCGTGCAACTGGTCTTTATCAGTCTGTTCCTAATGGACTTCTAGAATGCATGGACCTGAGGAGCAGTGTTCCCCAAAATGATGATAGGAAAAGTCACCTTAAAATCAGCAGTAGTTGCTTTGGAGAGGAAACAAATCGTGCATTTCTTGGGGGAGGCTTTTTTGATTGCTTTCCATTGTCTGGTTCTCAACTCACTGGAAATGAGAAAAATCCTTATCTTTCTCCAGTGGGCAAGTTCTGGGATAGAATCACATCAAACACTGACAGTTCTGAGAAGCGAGGTAGTCTAAAGCCAGAGCTGCCCAGCATTAACGAAGAACATGAGATCACGGAAGAGGTGGTTGATGCATTTCAGGAAGCCACTGCTTCAAAAACAGTGACTTCCTCTGCCAAAAGGGAACCACTTACTGAGATTAGGGAATGTCCCAATGCTCCATCGGTTTCTGAAGCTGAAATATTTAATGTTAGAGATAGCCTGGACTCTGTGAACACAGCCTACAGCTTCATTGGGACTGAGAAGGGGACCAAGCAAAAGGTTCGAAAACACAATGCTACAAAGAGGAGAGATACAAATAAGTCGAGACAAAACTGCAGTATAGCATCAGTGGCAAATTCTACCAAAAGGGCAAGTGAATCACTTCGTAATAGGTTCAGTAAACCAAAACTATCTGAGAAAATTAATCCAAGAAAAGGTGGGCCAAGTTTCTCTCAAAAGGAGTCAAAGATCAATAACATAGTTTCAAATGTCGCTTCGTTTATTCCTACCGTTCAGCAAAAACAAGCAGCTTCCATTGCTACTGGTAATTATTCACTCATTTCTTCTGCAGCCATTCTTTTCTTTGTCATTTGTTGCTAACATTTTACGAAAATTTGTGTTACCTATAGATTATGCAGATGCTTTACGTTGTTTGTAATTCCTTTTAGGGAAAAGGGATGTTAAAGTGAAGGCTCTGGAGGCTGCTGAAGCTGCTAAGAAACTTGCAGAACAAAGAGAAAATGAACGCAAAATTAAGAAGGAGGCATTGAAACTTGAACGGGCGAGGTTGGAGCTTGAAAACTTGAGGCGGTTGGAGTTCGAGAGGAAAAAGAAAGAAGAAGAAAGAAAGACAAAAGAGGCTAGTATGGCCGCTAAGAAGCGACAGAGGGAGGAAGAAGAAAGGTTGGAGAAAGAAAGAAAAAGAAAGCGTCTGGAAGAAGCACGGAGACAGCAGCGTGGCCCTGAAGAAAAATTATGTGCAAAGGATGAGAAAGAAAAAAATTCCCAAGCCCCGGTATACTTCCTTATGCTGTAAACGAGGTCTTGTTTTTAGAACTTCCTTTCTGCAAAATGGCATTAACTCTGATGTCTGCTTTAGGATGAGAGATCACAAACAATAAAGGTTCCTAATAGTGATGCATTGAAGCATGAGAAGATGCAAAAAGCAGGAGCAAGTGAAGGAAAAATGTCGACTGGGGAATTTGGCACAGTTGTTTCTTCAACTTCTGACGCTGTAAAAGCAAGCACGGCCACTGAAGATTTTAATGCGAAGGTAAATTTCATTTAACAGATTCAGTTATTTAATTTTGTAAATTCATCTACCCTCAAGAAATTATGTCCTCTTTGGCCTAAATATAAGGAACTTTAAGGTTTCCTCTTAGTATTACTGCTATATTAAACTAATAGTGTCTCTTTTCAGCTAACCATCTTTGAAGGCTGTTTGTTTAGGACAATGTTATGTCTTATGCATAGATCATATGCTTGAGTACTCTCAGTTTGCGTTGAGATGATATAACATGTTAAAAAAAAGCAACAACTGCAATGAGATTTTCTTTTGTGATTGCAACTTAAGGAGAGTTCACTTATGCAGTTATGCTACAACAAACTGATGGAATGGATATTCCATATCGGTATAATGACCCTTAAATGGATTGTTTTGCATCACTCAGACATCTCTGTTGCTATCTTTACAACATCTTGAAGACTAAAGAGGATTTCTGTTTTTTTATACGAGGCTTATGTGCTTTTCTATATTGATATTGGTTTAACTGAAACCATTCCTGGATGTTTCTTCTACTAATTGAATGGTTAAATATTTTTTTTCATTAAGGCCTCATGTGGACACTGAATATTGTCAGGTAATAAGGACCTTGGATAGAGTAAAAGGGAGTGATAACCAAAATGCAGACATGAATATTGAACAATCATATGATATTTCTCCATACAAATGTTCTGATGACGAAGAAGAAGACGATGACGATGAAAATGAACCTAATAGAAAATTTGTTCCTTCATGGGCCAGGTATGTTACTCGGTTTTATCATTCTAAAAACAAGTAGTTAATTCCATCTTAAGATATTGTTTTCAGCTCTTGGTTTCAGAGAATTAGCATTTGACTCTTCTGAAATTTGCAGTAAAATTCGTGTGGCTCTGGCTATTGTTTCCCAGCAAAATGTAAATCCAGAAGCAATATTTCCCCCAGAAAGCTTTAGCAGCATTGCTCAAGGTGATTGTTTTTACCAACTGTAAAATCTTGTCCTATGTAGTTTGCTGTTGGACTAACAGTTGTTCTCATTCGTAGTTCTCTTGCCAAGAAAATTCCAGCAAAACGGTGCGAGTTAAATTGGATGGTACGGTATTGAAAAACATAGCATCTTCTGCCAGCTTAAGTTAACGATAGCTTTTGCATGATTATAAAGGTATGCTATCTCTTCAGCTTCTGCCAACTTAACGAAGTGTGCTTGATAAGAATAGAAAAATTGAAAGAAAATATAATTTTTTATTCATGACTTGGTAGAAAAAAAAATATTTTAAACCAACTTATATCTTTTTCATATTTTCTCTTATTTTTTTCTTAAACTGAAACGATTTTTTTTACATATGATAGAAAATAATCACCTCTTATTTTCTTTTTTATCAGGCACATTCAAAATTTTTTCTTCCCACTTTTTCAGTGAATATTGATTTAACCCATTTTTAATTTATTATATATTTAAAATATTATATACATATTAGTTTTTTTTCCGGTAGGGTTGGTTTTGATATTAAAAAAACCGACAACCGGCCGAATTAATCTTCGAAACCTATCCCATGAATCGAAGACTAATCAAACTGTCAAAAATTGAACTGAAATAATCGAGGAGATTGATTTTTCGGTTTAAATCGAGAAATGCTCACCCCTGGAGCAAGGGTAAGAATTTGATGTTTTTAAAATGTTTTTGAAATTCTCACTCCTATTGGTTTTTTATGTGGCAGGTTGAATGAAGAGAGACATCTTGGAAGAGTAAGAAGAAGATAATCTCTGATTAGAGCTGAAACTTTCCAAGTTGAAAATGTTAATGGATGCTATCTAGTCTCTCATACTGTTTGTGTTTACTGATACAATGCCAATATGAAGTCAGTAACCCAGCCATTGAAGCTGCTGAAATTCTCACATTTTGTACGATTTCACTACCTAATCACCAGGTAACACACTTAATTTAAGGGAGCATTTCTATTAATTGTTCATAATATTGGAATTATCCAGTCATTTAATTACTTCAGTGTAGGCTCTACGTAATTTTTTATGAGCTCTACATGATTTAAGTTGTGATTGGTTAATTGTAGTACAATTATTATAGTTGATAATCGATACTGTGGGTTTCATGTAATCTTTTATGAACCCTAGATAATTTTAAACTATGATGGATTAATTTCACTACAGTTATTTTAGGATGATATGCACTTAAATTTAAGAGGTCTTGGCTTAACAGATTCCCTCCATCCCTCTTGATGCCCTTCCATTAATTTTTTGTTGTTGTGTTCATATAAAGGAAACGCATTTCGGTCTTTATTGGATAATCGTCATTTGTTTTGAAGTAATACTATTGGACAGTCAGTCGTTGTTAGTATCCATTAATCCAAATTAACACTGTCATGTTGGACCTTTTCAACCTTATATTAAATTGTTTGAACAAGTGGCGCCATATGGGGTACAAATTTTCTATTCCCTCAGCGGCTAGATGAAGTAGCCGGTTCTGATTTTGGATTTGGCCATTTGGGGTTAGTGAAGTGGAGCTCTGTGTTTGATTGGAACCCACTTTCTATGCTGCCCGTTTCAGTTAGGTTGCAAATCCCTAATTAAATTTAATCTTAGTTAAGTTAGGTAAGGTAGAGTGTGTGCCAAAACAAAACGTGTAAACCATGAGTTTGCAAGGTGAAAAACCCAGTTTGCCTAAAACTATTTAAACCCGTCCATTAGAAGTATTGCTTGAAATTTTTCGTTTTTAAAATTGATAGAGGTAATTTACGTGCAGATGATATCAATAGCAAATTTGTTGTTTTTAGTATACAATTCAGCATGCCATTAATTCTTAAATTAGTGTCAGCCTATGGGTCAGAATCTGAACATTTTTTTTTGAAAAACCCGTTCAGAATCATTCACATGGCTTGTCTTACGTAAATTAATAATAACCCATAGTTTTATAATATGATTTTTGTGTGTTAATATATTTAAAAATTATTATAATTGTGTTTAACATTTTTTATATAAATATATGTTTCATCAAATAGCTAATATTACCAATTCTACGCGCCACCTACCTTTAAACGGTCACTTTTGAAAACCCATAAAGATATATACAAAAATCCAACTTAGGATCTCTCATCAACAACTACTACAGCGTTTTGACCATGACCAAATCCAATCATCTTTTATTTAGGGTCAGTCTAAATATACCAATTCATTTTATTAAACCTACCATTTTTTAATCATAAAAAGGTGAGTGGAGCAGGGTGTAATCATTTTACTAAAACTACCATTTTTTTATCATAAAAAGGTGAGTGAAGCATGAAAGGGTGAGTGGAGCATGACGTGGTGAGTGGTTACAGCTCACTCATCTTCATCCATATTTCTTCTATAAAAAACATCTAAGATTTCCACTTTGATGAACATGTGGGTTGCGCCAATAATCCAATTGAACTTTAAAAAGTTGTCGGCTCCCCCACAGGCTATGGATGAAAATTATTGTTTAATAACTCGAAAATAATTCGACAGAAAGAGTTGATGAACAGAAGAGCATACCCTTCAAAAAATTCACCATGAGCATATATTGAATGAACGAAGGGAGAGTTGATGAACAGAAAATAGAACACCAACAGGAGGCAGCAACCAAGATCAACAACAGAGAGAGTTTCATCAACAAGCGGGGGATTTCTCGATTGGAAATGTCATTTTTTTCTGAAAACAATTCAAATGGTGCTGAATTTTCTATATCGACGTCTCCTTTTTTCTCTAATCAGGTAAAACAATCACATATTATATTTTTTTATTTTATTTACTATTATAAATATTTTACAAGAGAATATCGTCATAAATAAAAATAAATTGAATTTTAGGTGTTTTGCTCTCACGAAGATTTAAAAAATTGGGCACAAAGCAAGGGGCGCTCTCTTGGTTATGTCATAATAACTCAAAGATCATACACAGATACAAGTGGTTTTTTGTATGAAGTCGTGCTTATGTGTGATCTTGGTGGTGAATATAAAACCGAAGGAAACAAGTAAAAATTCTGCTACCCGAAAAATTAATTGTCCATTCCAATTGGTAGGAAAGTATTCAAGTATATATAATGGTTGGTTGATAAGTGTAATATGTGATGAACATAATCATCTTCCTGCACAACATATGGAGGGGCATCCATATGCGAGACGATTGTCTAAAGATGAATATCGATTGGTTGAAGATATGACAAAGAAGAATGTGCCACCACGTGACATTCGAGCGATATTAAAGTCGCAAAATGAAAATAATGTGTCAACACTTAAAGACATATATAATGCACAATATAAAATTCGCAAGTCCTTACAAGTTGGGAAAAATACGATGCAGGTAAAACATTACACATCTTTTTATGTTTCCTTTATATTTTTGACTTTTTTATTTTCAAATAATCAAAGTGTAATTTAATTATGAAAATTTGAATGCAGGTTCTTATGTCTCTTTTACACTCCAATGGTTATGTTCACGACTTTTCTACAAATGATGTTACGAACGAGCTGGAAGCTTTATTTTTTGTTCATCTGACATCTTTTAAGATATGGCGTGCATTCCCACATGTGTTGATGATAGATGCTACATACAAGACGAACAAGTATAATATGCCTTTTGTTGAGATTGTTGGCGTAACTTCTACAAGAAAGACATTTTGCATAGTTTTTGCCTTTATAAGTGAAGAAAAGATGGACAACTATAAGTGGGTGTTAGAGTGTTTAAAGTTGACACTAGATGAGTGCATGCTACCATGTGTTATAATTACTGACAGAGAGTTGGCTCTTATGAAAGCATGCGAAAAAGTTTTTTCGAATGCTACTCGGTTATTTTGTAGATGGCACATTAGCAAAAATATTTTGAAGAATTGCAGGCCCACAATCAAGACGCAACGTGATTGGGACTCTTTTCTTTCGGCGTGGAAGTTACTAGAAGATTCTCCGACGTGGATATCGTACATGGAGAACTACAAGCAACTTCAATTAGTATTGAGGAAATATCCACGTAATTTTTATATTTGACATATTTTTTATTTTTTAATATTACATATCAAATAATTATATTTTAATTTTATTTAACTTTTCAGGTGTTTTAAGTTATTTGGATGAACAATGGCTGAATAATTATAAAGAAAGGTTTGTGTCTGCATGGAGTGACCAGTCTCTCAACTTTGGCAATCGCACAACCAACAGAGTTGAAAGCCAACACGCCAAGTTAAAAAAACACTTGAAATCTAAAAAATATTCATTAGATCAATTTGTGGGCTATATCAATCAAATCGTGCAGTCCTAGGTTACAACAATAAATGAAAGCTTTGAAAGAAGTCGAATTTATCGTTATCATCGACATAACCAACCATGTTTCAACTTATTACGGGGTTTTGTTTCAAATGAGGCTCTTGATATGATTTTAGGAGAACTACATCGATTGAGTGATCTTGAGTTTAACTACTCAACATGTGGTTGTCAACTTCGTAAGAGTTGTGGGCTACCTTGTGCTTGCGTACTTTCATCGTACTTAAATTCCGGCCAGTTTATTTAACTAAAATTATTTGATTATTTGGAGGTCTTGGTTTTTTAGAAACTAAAACTTGTTTTTTCAGGTGAGAATATTCCTTTGGATTCAATTGATATTTTTTGGAGGGCACTAGATGTTTCATGGTCAGCAACCTTGGAAAATGAAGATATTCAATGTGACGATGAACTGCACATTTTCAAAGAAGAATTCAAAAGGGAATCAAACGCTGGAAAGAAGAATTTCTTAAGAAAGCTAGGCGATATATTCAATCCAAGCACCAATCTTATTAGAGAACCCGCAGTTAGAAAAAATACTCGTGGGCGGCCAAGCTTGAAGAAACCAAAAAAGAAGAAGTGTGTTGATCCGAAAAATCAATATCTTGATAAAAGTAGTTATTCCACCAGTTTTTTTGATATAGACTTAAATTTGGAACCGACAAATATTGAAACGACGAGACACAATTCATATGTAACAAGCGCACGCGACTTGTTTATGGATTTAAACAAAGAACCCGCGAGACACAGCTCATATGTAAGCCAGTCGTTTGCCAGACCTGGTTCGGAAAGATTTTTGAAACAACTTCCACAAATTTTCCGTCCTTATCTTATAGGTTTACAAGATGTAATAGATGACGGAAATTGCGGATTTCGATCAGTCGCTGTCGCTCTTGGTCTATCTGAGGATCAATGGCCTCAAATTCGATCAGACTTGGTGCGAGAGTTAGATGTTAACCAACAAAAGTATAAGTATATATTTGGAATGACAGATTATAAAAATATTTATAAAAACATACAATTAGCTGGAAAATGGATGGAAATGGCAAACACGGGATTGATCATTGCTTCTGCATACAATAGAGTTGTTATAAGTCTCGCTAATGGAGGAAGTGTCGGAGGATGTACTACGATTTTCCCGCTTTGGTCCAGTCCACCACAATCAGAGCCATATGAGACAATCGTCATTGCACATGTGAATGATAACTATTATATTAAAGCGGCATTACATGCAGGTTGTCCTTTGCCGATGACTCATCCACTTTGGATCACATATAAAAGTGACATTGCATCTGCATGGGAAGACCCATATGTTAGTCGTCAAGAAGAGTTTCGTGAATATTATTTTCGTATTCCTGAAACTTTTGACCTATCGAAGTAATTATGTAACGTTCAATTTATTGTAATTTGTTTGGGTGTATGGGTGTAATTTGTTTGATGGTTGT